TGGCCCTCATCAGCCACAGGCAGCCAACTCTAGTGTAGCAGCTGAAATTGCCACCGCACCCGAGTTTTGAACTCGCGCCTCGCCGATCAGGGGGCAGACGTCCTTATGTATACTTATTTGAGTACGAATTCTCTAAAAAGGGACTGAACCTTCCCCGCTGCATACTACTTGTCATAATATGCTGCTACGCGCAAAGTTAAAAAGGCGAATTTTCATGTTCTTAGAGATTGTGCGATTGTTTCAGGGAGTTTTCAAGTCACCACGCTTGAGAATTCCAATCGCATAAATAAGAGCAACTTCCACAATGGGATACAGGAGCCTACACATTAACCTTATCTGGAGCATTTAAGCCCTGCAAGCAGTGAACTAACAAGAACCTTTTGTGACGACAGGGAAAGCACACCGATACTCCGACGGAGATGGTAACTGCAATCATGACATTGCTTTCGACTAAGAAAGATGACTAATTGTTTCGTATAAACTGAAAGGCAGGCATCCCAAGAAATGTAATTTCAAGGAAAGGCGTCCTTTGGGAAAAGGACGTCCCAAAGGATGGCCTTCCTTAAAAGATGACTAAAATGGGGTGATAACATTGATTATCATGCAGCACAATCTCAAGATAGCTCAGCCGCATCGGGATGCAGCTATTCTTGGCCGACTGCGAAAGTTTCATTCCGGAAAATAGACAAGTCGAATAGTGTGCATTTTTACATTGATGTTCAATGCCTTGAAATAAAATACATCCTTGGAAAACATATGCACGAATATTCTTAATGTATTCACTTAACATCTTTATAAAGGCATAGACAAATTAATGACCTTCCTTAATGGAAAGTTAACATCTTGTAGACTGTAAACGCTAAACCCAAATTATAAGGCAAATGAGGCATAAAATTATTCGAGGATTAAAAAAACGTTTTTTGACGTACTCTGTTTGAGTATGACATTTTAAGCAGACACGAGGTGCTGCTAAATAAACGCAAATATTAAAAGCATTTTTTTTAATGAAAAATATAGGAGTGTTTAAAAAAATGCGAAAATATGTGCTACCTAAGTAGTGATTTGTAGTAGGCGCAGCTTTCGCAGGCGGTCGAAAACAACTATTTAGAAGTCAGCATTCTGACATTAATCCTTCGATTGGGCTATACGAGAATCCATAGTAAAACGCGAACAGAGTAATGCTTCCCAAACGAAAGCGCATTTTAGAATGGCGGTTAAAATTGGCTATATAAAAAAAGAGAAAAAATAGGGAAACATACTTTCCATCAACATCCTCGTCATTGAGGTTGGAAGGCTTGTTGGCCTCTGATTCAGCAGCATCGCCAAAAAGCTCCCACCGAGTTGACGTCACCGCTTCTTCTGCCGCCGATGAGGGATCAACAGACTCCCACTTGCTGCGGATAAAGAGTGGAAGCGGGTCGGCTGACGTGTCCGGCCGGGTTGACTTTGTCGGCGGTGAGTGGGCCCTGTAGGGAAACGGCAGTAGCACCATTATCACTCTGCGTATAAATAACCAGCTGGATTCCAATGCGACAACACATCAGAAATCGCACTCAGATTTCAGAACCAAAGCCTTAACAGGGAATAGCTATGAAGCTAGGGGGTATCAAACGGAATTAGGTAAAATGACATATCACGGCGTACCTGGGAGGGTTCCCGGCATTAACAACGGAAATTGAAAATATTTTGAGTATAGAGATGTTTCTAAATAGCCTAAGGCGCAGAAAGATTCAAAATTGTTAATGAGATAAGAGCAGCTAACATCCTAGGGAAAGGCAGAGTTATAAATGACAACATAAACTACTTAGATGTCTAAAATCGACCGACAGGACAGTCTAAACGTTGAAGTCAGGTGTGTTCCCACTAACATCGATCCTAGTGATCCTAGCATATAGCGATCTCCTGTATATAATTCGCAATATTTGGGGAAACAAGTGTATCCCCTCTATACGGATTATAGATAAACTGGGGCAGACTGAATTTGGTAGAAATAGATCAAAATGTTGAGGTCGAGAACTTGGTGGCTTTCCTTCATAGACGCAAATGACCAAAATCAACGAAGAATGCGCATCAGTTTGTACGCGAAACGGCATCGGGGAGGAGAGGGGGGAGCATTCATGAACACATCAGTCCTAAACTTACACGGTATTCAGTGGAACACCCTCGTAATCGTCATTTTTGTCACTGTCCAACGGACTTCCATCAACATCGAGGGGGTCACCGTCGTACTGCACGAGGGGAGCCCCGTCTATGGACTCAACATTCGAGGCTACAGCACCCGCAGCTCTGCTCGGAGTGTTGGCCTGATCCAGTGGCACCCCTGCAAGTTCGTCCTCCTCAAAGACATTATCATCCTTATTCTGGAACGGTTTAAGGGAGGGTGAAGCAGCAGGAATGTGCGCGTTACCATTCGGACGAATACAGCATTCGAAGAAGAGGAGACAGCAAGGGGAAGGGCGCTTACATTGTTTAAAAGTCCAAGGAAGATGTTTTGCAATTGAATGAGAAATTCGTTGGAGTAGATGGTCCACTCTTCCCAGGCTCTGAAACAAAGCATGACCTTTTGCTACAAAAAAGGTATCAACATCGATGGGCTCGAAATCGTTACCTTTAGTTGTTCAGACTTCATTTTGCTGTCCAGATCGCGGTAGAAATTACCAATGTTGGTGAAAATTTCTGGGAGACGGAGTTCAAAGCTAAAAGAAAAGGATGATATGACTCATCAACAAAATAACAAAAAGAATGCGAGTAAAACACACCGGATGATAATTGGTGAACGTCGGATACCAAAACAAATAATAAGAGTAGGGAGTGGAGGGGGGAGGAGAAAAATTCGGACGAATTCCAATTCTAATGCGAATTTCGATGTTTCGTTTCAGGTAAAATGGTGGATATCATTGCTCTTCTTAAGTGCCGTATAAACTGGTGAGAATTATGGTGCAGCTATTCGTCCTATGATATCGTTAAGATGGTTGTCGTGCACGAAATTAGGTGTCGCCGGAGAAGAGAATGGATGGATCTTCCCAGAGCCGCTGCCGCTAATCGTCGCGCGTGGGGAGGTGTCGTCCATGTTATAATTTAGGCCGGCTAGATCAGCCATGTTCAAAGCCGTATCAGATGTGTAAGTAAATAGATGTCATAAGACTAAAAGGGAGCAAATTGAAGCTTATACAGTTGGCAATCAAGCTTCCGTCATAAATGGTTTGTAGTGATTTCGTTTGTACAAGGGATTTACGAGGAGCAGTTTTTATGATAGACCAAAAGAATATAAAACAACGACTGAGTGTTCGCTTATTATTTCTCCGTAAATTCATGATGGATAAATTTCGGTCATCGTATTTGGGGTTGTTGAATGATTTACTTTCTTAAGCGTCCCAGAATGCCGGAATAAAACTCTAACCCAGGTAAAAGCACGAAGGCCATTCAGGTACCGTAAAAGTAGTCGTTAGTTTCTGAAAGCTAAATTTGTTTAACTCAAAAAACAGTCGTTGAACGTTACCGAGCAAGTTTATTCCACAAAAGACATAATCCACCGTGAAAAAAAACAGCTGGGGATAACAAGGCAGTCAACTAGAAGTTATCATGTCTGGTTTGGGAGACAATGGATTCTCCAGGGGATCGGCCTTAATAAAGACCAAAGGTCCTGGACCGACTGTTAACTTCGAATTAACTGACAGAAAACGTAGGCAACGTTAAAATCCACCGAAGTTAACTATTTCACCTTCTTTCACACAGGAGACATGATTTTCATGCAGACAATTGTTTTGTTCGTTACCACGCAATTGAGTTAAACAAAAGTGCGCGCGCGAGATTGCGTGCTTACACTAACGTAGTCAACGGAACGCGGTGATATTCGCTTCAAACAGCAGCCTGTGCGAGGCTTCTCAACTCCTAGTTTCACCCCAACTCTGATTTCATCAACAGCACCACGAACCTCTAGCACCTTCAGTGGCTAGGTAAGCTCAAACCGAGGCAATCGTCAGTGAATATTCTTAACCAACAGCAAGGTAGTACTTCTTTAAGCCTACCTACCGATTGTGTTCACTGGTACGGTGGTAGCAAACTGTCATCAGGCGCAGAGAAGGACCGAGAATAGCACATCTAACTTACCACTTGCGGAAGAAGGAGGCATTAGGAACCTTGGCACTCGAGTTGTACAGGATGTCAGAAAGGAGGAAGAGGCGGGCAATAAGCGCAGACACGGTAGTGGCTGGACGAATGGGTTTGGTTCCCTGGTGATCCTCCGACTTTTCTTCGGCTTTCTCCTTGCCATCTTTTGCAGCCAATTCGGCTTGTGGAGCCGGCCTTAGTGAAGCCGTAATCAAGTCGGCAATATCATTGGCTGATTCAGCGTGCTCCAGGCACCACAGCATCAACTCGCCCAGTTGTGACTTACTGGGTTCTAAGTCATTGATCCAGCAAGTGAGACGATTGCGCTGGGCCTCGGTGAGACCGGTGCGCCGAGAGTTGGCCGCAGAGTCGCTGTCGAGTCGCTCTTCGGTGCTGAAAGGAAAAACGAGAAATGTAGAAAACACGTTTAGACGAAAAAGGGGACAGTACGTAGGAAGGGGTCGGAAAGGAGAGAACCGTTTTTCCTACCGGAAGTTGTGAGCGAGGTCAACTCGTTCGACATTTGTGAAACCAAAATAAGGCAAAATATGTCCAATGTTTTTTGGTACATGTCAAAGACTGTGAAGGGGGGGTAAAAGTCGCTGATAACTATAGCACACGATTAAAAAAGTTGCTTTAGGTTCGCAATATTCAACCATTTGGTTAGTCAAGTGTTTGGGTTCAAGAAGGCAATAGCAGCGCATGTGACCGTCGAAAGACGTCAAATTCACGGCGCATCAGGTACTGCGCCAACTTCACTCCCAGTTAGTTTGATATAGTATTGCCACTGCTCTACTGTGACCGATACTGAGCGGCATATCAGGACTATAACAAACCTGACGCAGCTTTAAACTACAAATTTGCAAATTGACAAGCTACCTCAGTACCCTTAAATGAAATTTAAAACGCAAAGGCTCCTTGCTATAGTTACTGCACGACAGCTATAATGAACGGACAAAACCCGATTAGTGCGACACACGTAGACAGGCATTTTGTCAGGTCAGTCAACGCATCTAAGCCAATATCCAGTTGTTCGTGCTTTGTTTTATTAATGGAACACAGTAAGGATGGAAGGCTGAACAATTCATCGCTACCATCAGGAATGTGTAGCGGGGTACTCCTGGAGTACAACGTACTAACTGTTGTTCTGGCACAGCAACCTGCTTAACAAAAAGATGATGATAAGCTGCCTTGAGGAATACTTCAATTCCTCTAATACGATCAAATATACGCATTTTTAAAGTGGTGAAAACTAGATGTGTAAGTATGATTCTTTTCGATTTGCCACCGACGTTTTACCCATCATTTCATTTCAGCAGCATTTACTGTTTCAGTTCATGTAATGCTGAGGGTTGATTCATGCCGATTACTGGTTAGACCTCTGAAAACTAAGGCCATATCCCATCACTCATTTTTCGTCATAGTAGTGTGGTGATGTAAGTCAACAATTTGAGTTTGAAAAGTTCACCAGCCGTGTTTATCAAGTGAGACGCTCGTTTACCTTAGATAAAAAATGTTTTTAACTAAGCTTTAAAAATGGATAATAAGCGCCTTTCGGCCAGTCCATGTGTTTACGTATTACGTCAGCATAAGCAACAATCCCTAAAATGAACACTTTGCACAAAAGTCACCCCTTTAACCGAATTCAGGCGACGCCTTCCATTTTTTTAAACTGCACAATCACCACGATCAGTCAAAATTACCAATCTGCCCTTTATCCGTGACCACCCAGCCGACAGACTATAAAAGGGACAGATAAATTACTTACTAAAGAGCCTCCTCAGAGATTCGATGGGGGCAAGGCGCAGGAACGTAATTGGCGGCATAGGGATATTCATCCTCTTCCACTAAATAATCCGGCATTCCATTTGTGAAAAAGTTCATTGGAGGCGGTCGCCAGAGAGGTCCACCCTCAAACATGCGGAACTCATCTGGACTCCACTTTGTCAATGATTCACCCTAAACGGATAAAAAAACAAATGAATTGAAATCAGGAAGTCGGATGGACGTGCACAACAACGAGAATATTAACCAAAGGGCCCCTCGTGGTCATTTGCGAGGGCTCTAGATTTAACCTCATGGTCTAAGAGGATGAACATGTCCCGTAACCTGACCATGAGCGCACGTCCCACGATCATGTTTTTAAAACCAGCTTGGTTCTAGAAATTAGTGCTACTTAATATTGTAAGTAGCCCTTAGTGTCAACTTTTTGTGACGTCTGGAGGCGCGAGGAGTGGCTTGCCCTAGACGCGAGTTACCCCGCTCAAACGTAAAGGTGAATTACCGGAAACTTGAACCCTACGAGGTAGGTAATTCCACCTAAGTCAGCCGTACCATTATGTTCACATCTTAAAAAACTGATGTAATACAGTAAGCCAAGGGTGCTCCAGACACGCCACACTTGCGCCACTCAAGCACGGAAAATTAGCAAAGTACTTACCAGGGCTTTTGACTATAAACTATAATAGATTCATAAGGAAGGAACTGCAAACCATGCGGCAAATGTTGGCAGTGGTTTCTTTTAGTCATATTATTCCCAAATGCAGCAACCAAGTGCGTTTTAAAGGCCTCCAGGATCAGAGATTGTCCTTAGGGCCGCTCATTAAGGGATAGTGAAGAAGACTGGGTCACAACAAAGATACAGTCGAAATGAAGACGCTCAAGATATCCGTGAACATCTTTCTATTGCTAGCCTACTGCTACACCGACTGAGTGCTTTAGTACACAGATTTTTTCTCCTAGTAGAGCAAATTCTCACAGGAAGACAGCAAGCTAAACGGAAAAACCGACACCCCGAGTAGAAATGTTAAAGAAATATCGAAACAAACGGTAGCTAGATAGGCAGACCTAGAGAGGCATCACAATTAATAAATATCTAGTCCAAGGGTGGGGATGATCAGTACTTCCCCGCATAGGGTGTGGTGACTTATGCGTCCACTTGTTTATAGGTAGGAAGGCTTGCGGAACATTAACCTCCTACTCCTCCAACATCCACTACGTGCCAACGGTTCAGCGGTTGGCAAGGATAACAGCACATCCATGTTACTAACACTAAAAGTTACTTTTGATGAGGTTCGCCGATGCCACATAAGCGAGAATGTCATTTAAATTATCACAAAGGAAGCATTGCGTAGTCAGGTATAGTCGTGCAGCCTGTTTGGAAATTTTAAAACTATGAGACACAGCGCGTCATTGTGGTCAAAAATAAATGCAGCTGTCTCTAAAAGACAAATAAACGCTGGATCACCCTCATCCCCGTGTGCTACTGGCCTGCTCACGTCAAATTGATTGGGATAAATCAGACAGTGTATAAAGTGGAGATAAGGCCTGCATTCACACGCAAACACAACGAAATGTCTTGAACGCGAATACAAACCGGTCGCCCTTACACAACAAAGCTGCGCTCGATCCATCGCTTGGGGACTCTGCAAACAAAGCAAAGCAAACTGGCCAACATGAGGCAGTACGCATCGAAGCCTGCTAATAATAGTTGTTATAGAAGCCATACACATCCACCTGAACACGAGCACACGCCGGAGCGGCAATCTTCTTTGAACAAGGAGCACTACAGCGCCGACAGGATCCCCACCACTACATAAACTTACCTAGAAGTTCCCGCTATGGCTATCCAAGTAAATATCATTTAACCTTATTGAACCGCAGGTCTTTTAATGGCCATGGCTCAGAGCTCTGATGAACAATGAATTTCGAGGAGTGAATTGATTGGATATTGTAAAACCAACAGTTGGCGAAAGATAAACAAAATAAACCCAACAAAGCAGCTTTACACGTAGAGTAGAACACTGACAGCCGCAAAGTAAGCGTCGCCAAATTGACTATGTTGGGCAAATGTTCGACCAACGCCCTTCAAGTCGATTGCACAAAAACGAATGCAAGACAAAGAGGGTTCTGTTACGATACGCTACGTTTTGCCAGAATGCACTACATACCTTGACACACGGCGGAAGCTAGCGTCGGAGTGACGGAGGTGAGCCTTCTGTTAGGAAAGCTGGATCAGTGACTTTCACATCTGACGGGTATGGCGTGTTGAGGCAAAGCAGAGGACGTAAAATTTAACACCGACGACATACGTTACCAGTCCCCACATTCTGATATGGCCCTACCCTATAAGCTCACCTTCTGGACACCGCATTCCCTAGCGGCAACATAACTCTGGAGGGCCAACAAGATGATGACGATTGCCATCGAGTACAGTGCAGGGACTACCACCAGCAACTGACCAATAAAAACTCACCATAGTTGTGACAGACTGGGCTAAATCCTGCGTAAATCTGAATACGCGTCTGAATCCCCATGAACTGGTTTTGAGGATCCCCTCTAAGCTTACAACGAAAACGCATAAAGACTTGTCATGCAAAATAATTCCGAAAAAAAACGTGTTTAGATTTAGTGTCGAGTTGTTATAAAACAAATCTGGGGTAATAAATAATTAAAACCGAACGTCGGCTGAAAGTCAAAAATCGTTTTAGCTAGTACCTATGCTGCCAGTACGGTAAATTACATCAAAAATAGCTTTGCTCGTCAGAGAGAAGGAGTACTTCAGACGATTTCTTTCGTAAAAATGTTATTAATCTAGCAGTTGTAGCTCTTGTGGAAAATGTATAATTACTGCTAAATATGCTTGTTTTATAAGAAATCATCGCTGTTTGAGGAAAACGCTCCTATATAATCACAGAAACTGCAACTGCCTTAGTGGTAAAATCTAAGACGTTCATTCGAGCTCGGGGGAAATAAACCTCAAGGTATGTGGAACACACTGAAAGTTTGTGGGAAAAATGTCTAGACAAATGGCATGGGGAGCATTTATAAATATCCAGGACAGTTTAATCATCGTATCCGATGAGGTTTACCGTGTGCCTCGCAGCAAGGCGGCACAGGGACGGTGATTTACGCGTGAATTACATTCTATTGAGACTTGTGATGCATCTACCGCTTTCTCTCATGCATAGGTTCGGTGTCATGGCCAAGTCAAGAAGACCGAAAGGGGGAGGGTGCGAGGGTGGCTAGAAGCCCCCACCCCCCTTAAGCGTGCCACCATACCTGGTTCGAATCGCACGGACTGGGGATGCCAGATAAATATGGAGCCATTGCAACCTGACTCTCGGTCCACCAGTCAGCTATTCCACACAAACGCACACTGAGCTGACTGTAGGGTTCGAGTTATCCCGTCAGTCGGTAACCTTTCAAGTGAAGGCTGTTAGCGCAATGTGATAGATTCAAGCGCGTCAAATTGTGTGCTGAGCTGTCGACCTCACTCTTTCCCCCACCCCTCATTATCAGGCCACCGTCCGAGTCGGTTAGTTAACTGGTGCGAGGAATGAGCGCAGCCGCTGACATACCTAATAAGCTCGTT